TGAGTGGTGGGATTAAAGGTGTGTGTCATCATTGCCTGGCCTCTATGGCTAACTAGTGGCTTAGCTCTGCACTCTGATCGTCAGGCAAGCTTTATTTGTTAGATCACAAACAAAATATCACTACAGTGCTCAGCTCGATTCTCCTTTTTATGCAGCTCAAGACCCAAGCCCAGGGGATGGTGTGCCAGTTTTAAGATGGGTCCCCTCACCACTTCCCTTTGCCTGGTTACGATAGCTCCTCACAGGTGTGCCTAGTGGCCTGTCTCCTGGATGATTCCGGAGCCCGAAAACTGACAGTCAGTATTAACCACCACACTCCATGAAGCTGGTCTTGAAGGTATTTTGGCCATAGCAATCCCAAAAGTAACAAATATGCTTTTAAAAATTAAAATTTAGCTGGGTGTGTTGTGTATCCCTTTAGTCCCAGCACTCGGGAGACAGAGGTAAGCAGATCTCTGTGAGTTCAAGGACAGCCAGAGCTGTTACACAAGAAACCCTGTCTCAAACAAGCAAACAAACAACCCCCCAACAATTAAAAATTTAAATTTAAAAATTTCTCACAACCATTTGGGCAGTGGTGTCACATGCCTTTAATCCCAGCACTCAGGGCAAGTGGATCTCTGTGAGTTCGTGGCAAGCCTAGTCTACAGAGTGAATTCCAAGACAGAAAAACAAACAACAAAACAAAACAAATCTCACAGCCAGCCTAAGAAGAATTTTTTTTTTCAAGACAAAATCTCGGCCGGGCGATGGTGGTGCAGAGGCAGGCGGATCTCTGTGAGTTCGAGACCAGCCTGGTGTACAGAGCTAGTTCCAGGACAGGCTTTAAAGCCACAGAGAAACTCTGTCTCAAAAAACCAAAATAAATAAATAAATAAATAAATAAATAAATAAAAAGACAAAATCTTTCTATATGACTTAGGCGGACCTGAAATTTACTATGTAAGGGAGGCTGGTCTAGAACTCATAGTGAGCCTCCTGCCTCACTATGAATATTGCAATCAAAGCAGTGAACCACCATAGTCCTCAGGATGCTCTGAGCTCCACTTCCCAGATGAAGAAACTGAAAAGTCTACGTGTCCTTCCACGGTCACTCAGTTTGCAGGTGACAGAGCTGGGACTTGACAATGGCCCTGATGCCCAAACTGTTCTGTTCCCCACCCCCGCCCCCCTGCCAGCTTGTCCTGTTTTCTTCTGTCCCTCTAAGGAAGCCATTGCTGCAGGGTGGACTGGGAGGGAACAGCCTCGTGTCAAAAAGAATCTGTTTGTTTTCTGGGAGGACTGGGGAGGAGAGGAGATAGGCAGGGTCCTTGGCTATCTCAAGACCAAAGTCCCCCAACAGCAGGTGGCCTGTGGGAAAAGATACCAGAAGCCAAAAGACTAAGTGCCACCTCTGGGCTCAGCAGGCATGATACCCTGGGCCTCTAACCCCTAAATGCTTCAAGTGCTTTAATTCAAAGAAATATTTTATGTGTGGGGTCAGATCCGAGATCACACGTGTGGCTGGAGACAAGAGTTTTTTGGCACACAGACCTTTACCTTGGGATCCTTACAGCAAGCTACAATGCAGGTACCAGAAAACAGAGCGGGAGAGCTGTGTTAATCCGTTTCTGCTGCTATATCACAATACCGTAGACTAAACAAAACATTAACGAGAGAGGTTTACTGTCTGTGTCCCGGAGGCTAGGAAGCCATGAGCATGCCATGCACTGGGCTAGGGTACTTGTGCTATCACAGCAGGGCAGGAAACGAGAACATACGGCAGGCAGAGAGGCGTTGGACCCAGCCCATTGATTTATTAGAAGCCCATTCTGGCATTTATCTGCCAGGTGATTAGGTGGCCTAATCACCTCTTCGAGGTCTAGCCTCGTAATTTTACCCAATGGCCTTTTTTTTTGAGATGAAGTCTCTAGTAGCCCAGGTTGCCCTCTATCTCCTTATATAGCCAAGGATGACTGTGAACTCTTGATCCTCCTGCCTCCACTTCCCAAGTCCTAGAATGATAGGCCTGCACCACGATGCCCAGCTGGTGTTAATGAATTCACCACGAGTTTGGGGGAGCACATTCAACCCCCAGCACTAACCTTGACGGTGTCACCTATCAACGCTGCTGTTTCTTGTAACTGTTTCGGTGACAGCCGATGCTGCTGTAGTCTGTAATAACCGTCTCAGTCCAGTGACAGCCTACGCTGCTGTAGTCTGTAATAACTGTCTCAGTCCGGTGACAGCCGATGCTGCTGTAGGCTATTTATAACTGTTTTAGTTAGAAGCTAATCATCAATCCAGCGATGTGAAAGCAGCTGATCTCACAAAAGCATGCCTGTAGGGCCTGGAGCCCTCTGGGGAGATGGCTCAATGGGAAAGAGCACTTGTTCTGAAACCATGAGGACCTGAGTTCAAATCCCTAGCATCTATATGACTGTGTATGCCATTTCCCATATCTGGAAGGTGGAGACGGGGGGCGGGGGTGATGAGAGCTTGCTGGTCAACCAGCTTGTCCAAAAGGGGAGAGCATGTGGTCCAGTGAGATCCTATGTCTTCTGTCTCCAGGCATAAGACAGAGAGGAGTAAAAGGAGATCCTTGATATCTTCCAAATGCACGTGCATCTGCACACACGCAGGCATGTGCCGCACAGATTCACACCATACATGCACACACACACACGTGAGCACATATATATACGAATCTTTCATTGCCATAAAATGTACACGCAAGCTTGGCTTCATGGTACACAGTTGTTATCCCAGCACCTGCGTTCCTAAGGCAGGAGGATCAGTGTAAATCCCAGGCCAGCCTGAGCTAACTAGTGAGGTCTAGGCCAGCCTGGGTTATACAGTGAGACGCTGTATGAAAACAAACAGACAAACAATGTAATGTATATTCATAAAGGCCCAGAGCTGTAAGGACGGTTATGTCCTCCGGCTTCAAAAATTCTCTTCAAAACACGAACTTTATGTGCTCTTTCCACAGCTTCTGTGGCGAGAGAGAGTGAATGCTGTCATTAGAAGGCCATCAGCCCCGCTTTCTTATCTCACTTGGCTCCTGAGAGACAGGCCCAGAAGAAATTCATTTCCTTGTGGGTAAAATAAGGAAATCAACCACTCCCCTCTTGGCCTGGCACAGAAGGTGTTGTCCCATGGGAGCACTGGGCAGTGAGCCACCCACCAGCTCCTGGCACGACAGGGGCCGCAACAGGGCTGGCCTCCCAATGCCCTGCCCAGTGCAGTCACTGCCAACTGGGATGGAAGCCTCCGTGGGTTGCCAACCCAGAGAGCTGGCAAGGTTCTTTTTCTGGGAATGTGCACAGCGGAGGTTGTTGGGTGCAGCCATACTTTGCGTGGGAGAGAATGGAGCTGATTTTTATTTTTATTTTATTTTATTTTTTTTTTTGTAGTTTTCCCAAGACAGGATTTCTCTGTGTAACCCTGGCTGTCTTGGAGCTCACTTTTTAGATCAGGCTGGCCTTGAACTCACAAAGATCTGCCTGCCCCTGCCTCTGAAGTGCTGGGATTAAAGGCATGCACCACCACCGCCCCACCCCACACGGAGCTACATTTTTAACAGGGAACAGGATGAATGTCGGTGCTCAGAGGCAGGAGACTGGTCCCACAAACTAAGCCTTGGAGAGTTGGAGGATTTCTCAGCCAGGGACACATGGTTCAGAAATGCAGATCTGTAGGTCTCGGGGTTCCCAATGAAGCAGGATAAACAATCATACAGACTGCCTATGGTATAAATCCACCAACACCACTGGAAGGACAGAAGGAGGGCAGGTCCTCTCCTGGCAGCGGCACTATGTCGGAATGCCTTTCTTTATCTAACGGTGTAGATCGAGCCCGACCATCACAAAATTCACAGAAAACAATGGGCGAAGCATGTAAACTCTCAGCACCCCGAGCCCTTGGGCTCCTTCTGCACGTTCTGTCTGTGTCCCAGCAGAACACACTGTTTTGTGCATGGTGCCAGGGGTGGAAGCTACAGGGTGTTCATGCTGAGTGCACGCTCCACCACTGAACCACCCAGCCCTTACAGAATGGTCCGCTTTTGCTTCCTCTTCCTTCTGCTTCCTTTAGTAATGGCTGAGGCTGAGGCTGGATTCCAGGGACCTGGGCTTGCTAAGGAGAGTGTTTCAACACTCAGCCATGCTCCAAGGCCTTTTAAAAATACTCTTTTGACAGGAATAGATATTTATAGATGCTTTTAAACATTTAAATTATACTTATTTGTGTGTGTGTGTGTACATGTGCGGAGGTCAGAGGGACAATTTGTAAGAATTGGTTCTTTCCTTCCATCATGTGAGCTTTGGGAATCAAACTTGGCTGGTCAGGCTTGGCAGCAAGTCCCCTTATCTGCTGAGCCATCTCACCGGCCCTAGATGTTTCTTTGGCTCTACCATGTTTCCCTTTTGAAATGGACATGCATGCAGCTGGATGTGGGGCTTCTGCCTGGAATCCCAGCACTTGGGCACAGAAGTGGGAGGACAATAGAGCGTTCAAGGCCAGCCTGGGCAAAATGGGCAGACTCTGTTTCACAAGAAGAAAAAGAAGAAACGAGTTATATGTGTAATCAGAAAAAAGAATGGATGAGAGAAGGAAAAAAAATGTCTTTGCATGATTCATGACATCATTGAAAATTAGAAGCCTGGACATTTTTACAGCCTTAGCCTGTCTTTTTGTGGTTGTAGGAGCTGGGCTCAGCAGGGGGATTGGGTGGCCTGCCAAGCTTTGGGTGTCTGTGGTTTGTGTGGGGGTGGTACTAGGGCCTCCTCCCCTGGGCTCTGTGGAGTACTGACCATGGAGGCTGGTAGGAATTGCAGGGAGACCAGGAGGATGCTCAGAACTGGGAGGCGGGGTGAGGATCTGTCTTCCTGTTTGTTGAGTATTTGCAAATTCAGGCCAGGAGATATTAGGGAATAATAAGGTCAAAGTCCTTATTTATGGCCTTGGGGTAGTTAATGTGTAATATTCTGGGATATAAACCTGACCAAGAGGTGATACCTTGCACACAAGCCTCTGGGAGTGACTGGGAGAGCTGTGGCTGGGAGCTGTCACCATGTCGGTGAGGATGCTGGTCCTTGGGGCCCACTTCCCTCCACTCGCTTGTCTTTGCTTGAATGTGTAGGTTAGGGTAGGGTATTTGGGGGTCCTCTACTGCTGCCCTTCTCTTTGTCTCAGTTTCTCCATGAGCATAAAAAAAAAGCTGGGATTAAAGGTGGCAGCGCACACCTTTAACCCCAGCACTTGGGAGGCAGAGACAGGTGGATCTCTTAAATTCAAGGCCAGCCTGGTCTACATAGTGAGTTCCAGGATAGCCAGAGCTACACAGAGAGACCCTATCTCAAAAAGAAAAAAAAAAAAGAAAGTTGGGTGATGGTCTCTAAACCCCTTAGCGTTGAAGCCGCTCATCTCTCTGCCTCCACCAGGCTCAGGGCCAGGACCTCTTTGTGAGAATAGTGATGGTAATATTAATTATGACTGATAACCACTACTGAGTTTCACAAAGACGAGAAATTGAGGTTCAGGGGCTGGGAAAAGGTTCCATATCAATGAGAGAGTGTGTATTTAGTATGTTCAAGGCCCTGGGTTTGATCTTCAGCACCAGTAAAGGAATCACATGGGTAGAGTGCTTGCCCAGCATGTACGAGGCCCTGGGTTTGATCTCCAGCACCACACAAACTGTATGTGGGAATGCAGCTTGCAAGGGCCAGAGGCAAAAGGAGCTCTGAGTTTGAGGCCAGCCTGGTCTACACAGTAAGTTCCTGGCCAGCCAAAGGTACATACGGAGTCCCTGTCTCAAAAGAGAAAAATAGGCTGGGCATGGTAGCACATGCCTTTAATCCCGGCACTCGGGAGGCAGAGACAGGCAGATCTCAGTGAGCTCGAGGTCAAGCATGGTCTACAAAGTGAGTTCCAGGACAGTCAGGGCTGTTACATAGAGAAAACCTGTCTTGATAAACCAGAGGGAAACAAGAGGGAGAGAGGGAGGGATGGAGGGAAGGAGGGAAGGACAGAGAGAGCGAGAGAGCGAGAGCGAGAGCGCGAGAGAGAGAGAGAGAGAGAGACCGAGGCTCAAGATGACATTACAGGCCACCATTTACAATTCGAAAAGGTGTTTCGCTCTCTGAAGATTGCTGAGCCTTTGTTCCAATCTGGCTCAGCTGTGACTTTAGACAAGTGGATGCCTCTCTCCCGGGACCTTGGTCTCCCCTGACGTGTATGGGATGGGACTGCATGGCATTCTCTGGGGTTTAGATGGTGGGTTCATTTCCTAGAATTGTTGAGACAAGCCACTTTGAAATAAGGGGCTGACCACCACAGAGACTTCTCTCTTCGTCCTATGTCTGGAATCCAGGGTGGGCAGGGCCTGGCATTCCCTGAAGGCTCTGGGGAGGAGCTTTACGTACGTATTCCAGTTTCCTGTGGATGTGGGCACCCATAGGTCCTATCTCCAGATGCCCCGTTACAGGGCTTGCCCCTCTGCATATGACCTTCCCTTTGGGGGGTGGTGTTTCTGTACCCAGTTCCCTTCCCTTTCAGTTTTTTTAAAAAATATTTATTCTGCATTTTTTCCTGTGTATGTGTATGTGCACATGTGTGTCTATATCATGTGTATTCTTGGTACCCACAGAGGCTAGATGAAGGCATTGGATCCCCTGGAACTAGAATTAAGGATGGTTGTGAGCCACCCCGTGGGTGCTGGGAGACAAAGCTGGGTCGTCTACAAGAGCAGCTCTTAACCACTGAGCCACCCCTCTGGTCCCATTTCCCTTCCTTTTTCATCTAGCTCCAGCGCATTGAGGGCCTATCCTAGACCAATCTGGTCCCGTATTAGGTTGTACCAAGACCCTATTTTCAAGGTCACAGTAGCAGGTGCCAGGTGGGGCGAATAGGACGCATGTGTGTGTTTGGCGAATGACATCATCCAAGCCAGTGTAGGTAGTATGTAGGATGTCCGTGTGACCGGGTATCAGTGCTGGAAAGGACAGTGATATTCTCGCCCCTGTCCCTCAGGGAGACCCTTGGTGGCCCAGACACACCCTTGGCCTTCTCGATTTCAGTCACCTTATCACTCCACTCTTTTACTTTCTCTCTCCTCCCCGATAATCCCCTCATAGCACCAATAGGGAACCCGGGCCCAGAGTGGTGAGGCTGCCCTCAAGTCACTTGACCAGAGGAAGAGCTGGGGAGTCAGTGTAGGAGGATCACCAGTTCAAAGGCAGCCTGGGCTACATAGCAAATGGGGGTGTTTGGGCAGGGTGTCAAGCCTCCCTTGTGTTCGAATCAGCCATCCCCCATCCTTCCCACAACTTCCTTCACACAGCTGTGCTCTTGACCTCATCCCCAAGCCCCACCCAGACAGGGGACTTGATTCAGGAATCCTTGGTGACGCTTGTCAACAAAATACAGGCAAGGGACTGGAGATGTGACTCAGTGGTTTAGAGCATTGGCTGCCCTTCCAGAGGATCTGGGTTTGGGTTTGATTCTCAGCACCCTCATGGCAACTCACAGCTGTTTGTAACTCCAATTCCAGGGACAGCCAATGCCTTCTTCTGGCCTCTGTAAGCACCAGGCATGTATATGATGCACAGACATCCATGCAGGTCATACATACAATACTACTACTACTACTACTACTACTAATAGTAGGCTAGAGAGATGGCTTGGCGGTTAAGAGCACTAATTGCTCTTCCAGAGGTCCTGAGTTCAGTTCCCAGCAACCACATGTGGCTCACAACCATCTGTAATAGGATCTAGTGCCCCCTTCTGGCCTGCAGAGCACTCATACATAAAATAAAAGAAAATAAGATTTAAAAAAATAGTAATACAAGGCAAGAAGGAATCAGATAGATTCATGTCGATAAATGAAGCCCACAGTGCAGAAATGCTGTTCATAGGAGCTGCTCAGCTCAGCTATCACCCTCTGGTCACAAGCGTGAAGGATGGGCATTTCAAAGCAGTGGGCTTTGGAAACTCAGCCTGGACACTTTCCCTTTCCCCAGTCAGGGGCTAAAGAGCTGGCTCAGAGCTTAAGAGCACTGGCTGCTCTTCCAGAGGACCCAGGTTCAACTCCCAGCACCCATATGGCAGCTCACAGCTGTCTGTAACTCCAGTTCCAGGGGATCTGACACCCTCACCCAGTCATACATGCAGGCAAAACACCAAAGCACATAAAAACAAAAATAAATAAATCATAAAAAATAAATTCATTAAGAAAAAATAGAGGAGTCAGCTGCCAAGAAACTGGGGTACTACTGAGAAACTGGGGTACTACTGATGCCCTGGTTAGAGGCGAGGGCAGAGGAATACTAGATGCAGAATACAGAAATGTAGGGGTGGCCACCCCCATTTCTGCCATCTGGGTCAGGCCCTATGCTTGGGCCTCGCAAACAGGATGCTGAACTTCCTGCAACCGGCTTGAAAGTGGGTGCTATTGGTCTTGGAGCCTCCCTCAACATCTGTCGCAGTGGGTACTCAGCAACTGCTTCTGACTTTTTTTTAAGGGGTGGGTTTGGAATTCTGGGACTTTCTGCATGCTAGGTAAGTGCTCTACCACTTAGCTCCATCCCAGCCTGGATTGATTGACAAGTTTTGTTATTTGACAACTTTATACTCACACATCATGTATTCTGACCATTCTCTCACACCCCCGTTAGTGTATGTGTATGGCTGCACTCACGTGTGTGTGTGTGTGTGTGCAACCTTAGCCATCACCCCAAAAATGCTTCCTTTGAGACAAGGTCTCTCAGTCTGGACTGCCTGACCACGGAGCCCCAGGGATCTTCCTGATTCTGCCCCCCAGACTTGGATTGCAAGCATGGATCACCACGTCTTATTGCTTTGGGCTTTTGCTTGTTTGTTTGTTTGTTTTTTGAGACAGGGTTTCACCATGTAGCTCTGGCTGGCTGGAAACCTGCCGTGTAGATCAGGCTGACCTCAAACTCACAAAAAGCTACCTGCCTCTGCCTCCCAAGAGCTAGGATTAAAGGTATATGCCACCATGCTCAGCCCGACGTGGTCATTTCTGCATTACACCAATGTTTTGGGTGTGCTAAAGGCAGCATGTTACTTGAACACTGGGAAATTGTAAGACCTGCAGAGGTCAGGCTGCCCGTTCCGTGACCTTCCAGCCCTAGGCATTCTCTTCTTGGGTTGTGGGGTGGAGGAGAGCGAAGCAGAGGCTAAGGGGGCTCTGGGAAACCCGAGTCACAATGCTGTGGTCTCCATGAGGGCAGAGAGGTAACAGAGACATCCAGAATGGCAGGATGGCAGGGTGGCATAGGATGGCAGCAGGGCAAAAGGTCCCTTTCATGATTCCCTGAAGCCTTCTGTTCTGTTGCTCCAGGAGAAATTTGAGATCACAAACTTGGACATGAAATCAGGGATGACCCTGAAAATTAAAGGCAAGATCCACAAGGATGTTAACAGGTGAGCAAGGTGTGGGTGGGGGTGAGGTCAAAGGAGCAGCGACTCTTTTTTTATATACTCCTTACCACATCCTTGCTGGCTCCTGTTAGGAGTCGCCCTTGCGTCCTTTGGATTAGGAACCCTCAGAATGTCAGGACAGACACTGCTCTCTGTTCCTGGTCTCGACTGTCAACAAAGGGGCAGGTGGAGAAGGGTGGCACTCTGCCTGACCCGGCAGGTCTGAAGCCTGTGCTGAAGCGTACACATCCTGCTCACCACCCTCTTAACCAGGCCCTGTGATTCTAACCAGAGGCTGTCACCAGGGGGCAGCAAAGGCCCCCTTTTCCTCTACCTGAGCCTGCTGCTGTTAACTCCCTGGCTGCTCAGCACCGCCAGCATTTCGTGAGATAAAACCTCTAGCTCCTGTGTTAGGAAGGAGGCAGAGACACAGACTAGGAGCTAAGAGAAAAAGGCTCCTCGCTTGCAGAAACATGCGGATATGCCTGGTCTGAGAATCCTCACTCATGACGGAACCCCACACCCCAAAGGTCCTACTTTCAGGGACTCTGACTCGCTAACCCAGGCTTCTCTAGTGATCCTGCCAAGCCATAAACCCCTGCCTGCATCCCTCTGGTGACAGTCCTTCAACTGTCTCCTCCAGGACAGACAACCTGCAGTTGTCACTCCTAATCACCCCGCTAACAGCCTGTGCCTACTCCAAACAGAAGGTGCCACCACTGTTCACAGCCTACTGGCTGCAAGTTACAGATCTCAATAGCAGCATCTTGACTCTCTCCTCCAGCTTGTGGTCAACCAAAGTCCCCTGTCCTAAGCTGTTCTCCTGCCACTCCTCCCTGTAGCTTCACCATTAACCTGGGCCAGGAGCAAGACAAGCTGAACCTGCATTTTAACCCTCGCTTCAACGAATCCACCATCGTCTTCAACTCTCGTGATGGTGGCACGTGGGGACAAGAGCAACGAGAAAGTAACAAGTGCTTCAGTCCAGGAGAGGACGTCAAGGTGAGGTCAAACGGGAACCCAAATGATGGCCCTCCTGCCTCTGGACATGGGAGCACCGTCAGGCACCGTGAGGACCCTTCCCAGGCTCTCCTGACTTTATTTCCTCTCCTTACAGATCACTGTGGCCTTCCATAATAATGAGTTCAAGGTGACATTACCTGACGGACACACGGTGACCTTCCCCAACAGGCTGGGTCAAAACCACCTGCGCTACCTAAGTATGGCCGGGCTCCAAATCTCCTCCTTCAAGCTTGAGTGAGCACGCAGCACCTCCTCAGAACAAGACCTCAGTCCCTAAACCCGTTTCGGCCCTCTCTGCGAGCCCTATTAGGACCGCGGTCTTTAGGTCCTGTAATTTCCCACGCTCCTTCTGACTAACCCCAGCCCCTAGGTCAAGAGCAAATAAAAGAATCCACATTTATTATTTCCACAGTGAGAAATGTTAGCGCTTCCCATTCGTGTTAATGCTCCCCCACCTTCGATGCAGGGTTGGAAACTGAGGCACAGAGTGTAGCGCTGCCAAGGGAAGAGGATGGGAGGTGTTCCCAAGCCACCCCGTGCCTGTAAACTTCCCTTCCTCCTGGTGACCTGAGCACCTGCCAAGCTGTCCCGCAGGATTATGGGGCAGATACTGGTTCCAGGCACCTGGGGCCAGGGTGTTCCAGGAACTGCAGATAAGGGTCCCACCTGGGCCTCTTATCGGTTAAGCATTCCAGGCTGGTTACTCATTACCTTGCCTGCCCCCCTTCTAGCTGGGGGGCCTGAAAGGGGGTCCTCAACTTTCCAAACTCCCAGGAGGGGAAAGGGCACCTCAGCAGGGGCTGCCTCCCTGGCATCTAAGGCAGTTAGCTTTTACGGTCAGGCACAGGAGGCGGATCTGGGGTTCACAGAAGACTCTACACCTGACCTCTCTCTGGGAACTGGAGAGGAGCCTGGAATAGGGCTATTGTGGCCTTCTGGGGCAGTCTAAATGAGCAGGAGCAGGCAGTCCCACAGAGACAATGGCCCTGTATGGTCCTTAGCCCAGCCCCATCCCACCCGGGAAGCATCCTGGGCACAAAGCCCACACTGTGAGGCCATGGGGTTGGCACAGGGTATGACTGAAGGGCTAGTGGGCCTAGAGGCAGCGGAGGGAGGTGGGTGAGAGCAGTAAGGACCCCCTTACCAATGTCTGCCTTCCATAGACCAGGAAGGATGTGGGGCTAACTCCAGTTGGGCAACTGTCCATGTCTTGTGGGCAGTGTAGTTGTTAGGTGATGGTGGGTGAGCTCAGCCCCTCTGCTTTCTGTGAGTCTTCAGGATGGCAGGACCTGGAGCCCATGCCCAGTCCCTCACACCTTGACTTCATCATCTTCCTCAGCGTCAGCAAATTCAAAGGAATTGACCTGCACCGTGCTGGGCACTGGGGTTCTGTCACTGGTCGAAGGTGCACTCCATTCTTCATTCAGGCTCTCCCAGGAGCCGTGGACTTGAGGTAGCACCCCTGCCAGCTCCCGCCGAGCATCCATCTCGGTGTAGTGCCGGCTGGCCCGGCTGGCACCCCAGCTGGCTCCGTGCCTGCCAAAGGCCATGTTGGGAAGCACCTGGGGATTCCCTCCCACCGGGCTGGGCTTTACCTCAGCCACAGCGCCCAGCACAGCAGTGACCCCATTGGGGAAATGTCCACGGGCTGGGGGGCTTGCTGCAGGAGCTGAGAGGCTTGCTACAGGGTCTGGGGTGGTTATGGCACGGGCTGGGGGTTTTGCAATAGGGGCAGCGGGGGTTGCTGAGGAGGCAGGGGGCTTGGCAGCAGGGGCTGTGGTCTCAGCTGCTGGGGCTTCTGAAAGGCTCATGACCCCTAGCATCTCGCTGAGGAGTGAGGGGCCTAGGTCAAGGTCAAAACGGAAAGACAAGAGGGAGTCAGAGCGTCGAAGCTCGGGCTCGGAGGGGAAAGAATTTTGCTCTTGGTCTTGAGCATGGTCGCGGTCACAGTCACGGTCTCGGTTGCTGTGCTTTTCTGCACGTGGCAGGCGTGAGATGGTGCAGAACCCAGAATCCAGGCCTAGCAGAGAAATGGAGCAGAGGTTAAGGATGGGGTTCCTAGTCCGTTCTTGGAGACAAAGAGCCAGGACAATCCTGATCTACCATGGGGCCCTTGGAAAGCTTTATCCCTTGCTGGCCTCTACACGGACCCTACAGCCTTCCACACGATCTGAAACTAATCCTGATGCCACTTTACAGAAGAGCAAGTGGAAGTTCAGCTTGAGATGGGCAGACCTTGCCCAATGCCAGTCTGTCGGGGTTGGAACTCTGCCTGCAGCTTGAATCTTGACACTCAGTCCTGATGTGGACTTGGCCATGGTTCCTGGTTCCCTCTATGAAACTGACTGATGGCTAGTTTATCTGTGGTCATACGAAGGAACAGAGAAATCATAGGTTCTCAGGACAGAGACATGCCCTCCAAAGGTTACCAGCCCAACCCTTACTTGCAGGACCACCAGATCTGATACAGTGGCACCAAGACTGTAATGTGAAGCACGACCATGAGGGGGCAGCAGTAACCCACGGTCCCCTGGAGAGTTGGCCTGCCAAGGTGGCATTCACACCTGAATCAATTTGCTAAGTTACAGAGCCTTTGTTCAAACAACAGCTGTCCTGAGCAACTGCTACAGAGCTGCCTAGGTCACGGCTGACTTTACTCAGTCTTTTCCTGTCTGGTGTTTTGAGACAGGGTCTCTCTATGTAGTCTAGGCTGTCCTGGAACTCACTGTGTAGAGTAGACTGGCCTCATCGCTTCGCTGAATCTTAGCACTGAGACTAAGGGACCCGTAGAGGTGAGGACTGGCGGGCAGTCCATGTGCTTACTAGGACTGGAAACCAGAGCAGGCTCAGAGAGCCTCACCGTGATACCCTCGGACACTGCGGTGGGGGCTGCTTCACGGAAGGAGACAGAAAGGGGTGGACTAGCCACAAAGCCCAGAGATGAGAGCGGGGTTATGAGGCCTAAGCAGGCCGGCACCCCAAGTCCCTAATGCCACCACCGCCCCCCTCATCCTCAGCCTAGGTTGGGGGCCAGACTCCAACAGTTCATAGACTTGAACAGCTATGGGAAAAGGTTGCTATGGAGGCCTGGCAGAACCCCACAATTTCTCTGGGTTTGAATCCCAGCAATGGAAAAGAGACTGTGAACCCAGGTCCTCACCGTAACCAGAGCGGCCATCCGTAGAGCCGGCAGGACTACTGTCAAAGCTGAGCTTGCCCACCACCAGGCTGTCATAGGTGGCCTGGTTGAGCTGGGGCAGGGAAATGGCATTCTTGATGATGGGGGAGATGGCAGGCGGGGCGGGTGACGCTGAAGCTGGGGAAGCCATCCTTCGAGGAGGCACCCCCACCCGGCGCACCTGCTGGAGCTTCCTGGCCAGAAAACTTCGGGGTGAGCGGTGGGTGTTCCCAGAGCGACCCCCATGGTTGCTGAGGAAGGAAGTGTCACCGAAGACGTCCCCACCACGGCCCACGTGCATGGTGTGGCGGAAGTCCCCAAGTGGGGGGCTGATCATGTCTGCTGTCAGTCGCCTCTTTCCGTGGGAACTGGACACCCATCCTACAGGAGACATCTTGCCCAAGCTCATGGTGGGGGCTCCTATGCCCCCCTGGGGGCCAGGCATCAGCTTTGGCTGCTCACAACTGCTGGTCCATGCCCAGCTAGGGCCAGGGGAGATGGCAGGCTGGGTTCAGGGACCCTTCTCAGCCTCTTTCTGTGGATGAGGATAGTGCAGCAGAAGCCAACCCTTGACTCTGTTCAGGCGCTGTCCCCAGTGCTGAGGCTGAGGGTGACTACTCCTTCTCTCTCCCAGAGGCCCTGTCCCTTGCCCCTGGTGAGGTTGAGGATCCGAGAAGACACCAGATGGGTGGTCCCTGTCCTGGGGTGGAGACCTGAAAGGGCAGAGAGACAGCATTGTGGCATGGCAGCAACAGAGGAAATCCAAGTCCAAACAGTAGCCACCCAAGAGAACAAATGCAGCCGCCCAGCCAGGCACAAAGGAGGACCCGCAGAGTCTGTGTGTAGGGGGTTCAGGAAGGATCTGGGGGGCGGTGGTGACAGAGTGGAGCCCGCTTACAGCACAAGCTGAAGGACCTTGAACTCAGCAACACCCATGACAAGGTCAAGCGTAATCCCAGTGTTGTGGGGTGGAACCAAAACAAAACCAAACCCACAAGTTTCAGGTTCAGTGAGTGGCTCCGCTTCCAGGAACTCAGAGAGACCGAGCAGGACTTCTGTATGTGAGCACGTGGACCTATGCACCCACACACACGTGCACGCCACGGCTGAGAACCGGCAGCGTGGATGGCAATCGCAGTCAGAAGTGTGGATGCCTCTGAGCGCCACTGCCTGGGCGAGGACAGAGACTCCATTCTGCTCTGAGTTCACAATGGGCATCAGTGAAGCGGAAAAATGATCGATCATGACATAAGACCTGCAGGTGAGGTGTCAATGGCTCTCCTGCCCACGTCAGGCGACTCAGACACTAGACTTGCCAGAGGCACTAGAGCAGGAATGAGAAATGGATTTGAAAGTGTAGTGACTTGCCCGTGACTTCTCTGGAAGAAACAGAGAGTTGGGTTCCCCATCCCAGCCACCTTGAGCCCGCTCCAGACACACGCCTCTTGCCGGCGTGTTTCAGTTCTCTGGGGGTTCAAATCTATTCCACCTGGAGAGGCCAAGAGAAAGGAGGCGCTGTGCCAAGGTCTTGTGAACTGCTGCGTACACAGCCTGCCACAAAGCCAGCACTGACGCTCCTCAGGGCCCTCGGCCTCCAAGGTGCTTCCTGGAAAAGGGATCCTGTGGTCAAAAGTGGCTTTTTCCAGCCAGCTCCAGTGTGCTGAGCATTCAATGATCTAAGAAGGCCTGCAGAAAGGGCTTCATCAGTTGGTCAGGTTGATGGAGGAGCCTTGTTGTTGGGGAACAAGTTTTAGGGAAAAAATAGTGCCATGGGTGCCAAAAGCTAGTCCCTACATACGGACGTCCCTCCTGATCCCTCACCTCCTTCCTCTGCTGTGTTACCCTTCTCAGAGGGCACCTCTGCATCTCCTTTTCTCTTTCCCTAGGTGGCTGAGCGACTTAGGGTCCTGAAGCCCATACTCTGTTTTTGTGTGACCCAGAGAGGGCCAAGTTTGCTTAAGGTCTCGCCAAAAAGCTAGTCCAAACTTGAACTCGGGGCCTCTGACTCACATAAGCCCTTGCCGGCTTTCAGGGCCCAGTCTTGTTTCCCTGAGCACTTTGAGGGTGGGGCAATGCCTGGATTTTCCTGCCTCTCTCCCTCCCAGCGCTTAGCACGTGGCCAAATCCATAGCCAGCCTAATCATTAGCTGAGATAACCTTCTGGTCAGAGGGACCACCCCCTGCCACCTTCTGAGAGGGTAGAGTAGATTGGGGACT